ATTACTGTGCTAATATGGTCATGAATAGACACAGAGAAGAGAAAATTGTTACATGTGTGTCCATGGATTTCTCTACCCATCCCAGCTACAAGTTCTGCTGATCCTGTCATTTGTCACAAGGGCAGTGGGGTACATGACCCTGTGGCTCAATGAATGGAAACCTATCACCAAGAAGAAGACCCAGAAGGCATGTTTTCCCAGGAGACTGCTCAGAGTGTTTTTTCTCACACTTAGGGCCAGGAGGCAGATTTTGGATATTTGATTTGGCGGATTGGAATTGGTTTACGAAGCCAATGGATCTTATCTAGCAATAGATTTTTAGAGCAATCTGGACAAAAATATTGTCTTCTCTCTTCCATGAATGGGATGTGCTTGTCTTCCCACAGAAGAAGCGCACACTGAAGGGCTCCATTGAGCTCTCCCGAATCAAATGTGTCGAGATTGTGAAAAGTGACATCAGCATCCCATGCCACTATAAATACCCATTTCAGGTAAGTCCATCAGGTGGGTAGTTCCCCATTCCCTGGACCATGGTTAAAATCCTCAGTCACTGTAAGAGAGGGTGGACAGGGATGAATGCCTGGTCCAAGGTTAGAACTTGGACCGATCTCATTAGGAAACTTATGTGTTTCTTTAATCAATGACATTTATTCATTAATTCTTTCACTTATGGAACAAAAATTAAGCACAAAATCTTGAAAAGATGGTTATTCCTGATACCCCTTTCCCTCATGTCTTCTCTTCCCCAAGGAAAGTCCTAATTAGTGAGGGAAGAAATAAAGCTGCTATCAGGACCCAAATCCAAAGCATGTTAGTGCTTAAAATGCAGCTTACTCATGATTTGAGGCAACATATGACAATTGCTGAGTATGAATTGCTTGGAGATTCTGAGGCAAAAGGATTCAGATTTTATAATCTGAGGGCTATCTGGAATTGCACTGTCTAGCAGCCACTAGCCACACATGGATGTTCACGTATAAATGTAAATTAATTAAAATTAAATGATATTAAAAACTCAGCTTCTTAGTCACACTGGGCACATTTCAAATGTTCAATAGCCAGGCAGGGCTGGCAGCTACTGCACTGAACCAGCACTGGTTATAGAATGTTCCTATCACTGCAGAAAGGTCTGCTGAACCGAGCTGGTGGAGGGTATCTCTAAAGTCCTTATCTTACAGATGAATCTTGGCATTTCTGGCTTCAAAGGCATGGATATCTCCTTGTACATCCCAGGGTACCATTCTTGTTGGCCAACCTGAGGAATGAATATATTTTTAATGTGGCATAGAAAAGAACTTTTTTCTACTAGAAAAGTGACCCTCATGAGTTGTAATTTTGACGACTGAAAGTAAAAGGAATGGCATATATTTTTCAGTTGCTCAAAATCCCAGTGATAATGAGTGCCTTAAAAAGTGGTGAGATATAAGGAAGATTGCAGTTTAGTTAACAGTATTGTGCCAATGATGATCCCTTGGTTTCGAAAGATGCTTATGTGCTATGGTTATGTAAGATGTCATCAGTGGGGAAAGGTGGGTGAAAAGTACAGACGAACTCTGTACTATTTTTGGAACTTCTTGTGAGTCTTAAGCCATTTTGAAATAGGAAGTTTTCAAAATTCTCATTGCACATTTGTCATGTAATATCTTTCTCTTTCATATGCCAGAAATATTTTTCAATCACTAAAAATTTAAGGTGAGAAATAAATGTGCTTTCTAGACAAGAGGAGAACATTCTCCTGCTGTTTTAGTTTAGCGATTGCTTCCTGGGGGCATGGAATCTTAGATGAGCAGCTGAAGCTTCTTACCCTGTATTTTCGTAGCAGCCAAACATCTACATAAAAAAGATACTGGCCTCCTAATCACCCAAATGTTTGCCCGTAAGACGATAAACACCTGAGACCCCACTCTCGGCCCAGTAGGTCTGCTGTCAGTCAACTATCTCCACACACACACTCTGCTCACCTTGGACTCTGTGTGTGTGTCTCCAGGTCGTGCATGACAACTACCTCCTATACGTGTTTGCTCCAGATCGTGAGAGCCGGCAGCGCTGGGTGCTGGCCCTTAAAGAAGGTAATTAAACTCATTTGCCATTGAATCACTGGCACCCTTGATCCTATTGTAGGCTTGGTTTCCACAATAGAATAGAGTGTGGTGTGAGAACAGCTGATGGCTGATATCCCTTTTGGTGTTGGTAGAAAACCCAAGTTTTCATCCTGGGTCCAGGAGGCAATAACTAGTATCATTCAGGGATTGACCAAATCCAGCCTGCTGTCTGTTCTTGTCGGGCTCTGAGCAAAATTTGTATATAACTCATTTCAAATTGTTAAATAAGTACCTACATAAGGCCCTTGATTTTGTCTTATGGCCAGTAAAACCTCAAATATTTACCGTCTGGCCTTTTAAGAACAAGTTTGTCAACTCCTAGTATAGTATGAAGAAGCAGAGCATGGGCCCCCATGTGAGATGACCTGAGTTTCAATCCCAGTCTGTCACTTGCTATGTACACTTGGGCGAGTTCCTTAATTGCTCCACGCTTCAGTGTCCCATTTATTTAAAAGGGAGAAAAGGAAGATATAACAGCACCTGCCTTTGGAGCTCATGTGAGCAAAGTCCTGGGTACTAGGCTGGCCCATAGACAGCATGCAGTAAATGTCAGCTAGTTTTCAAGCTTTTACGCCATTGGTAAGGGTATTTTTAAGCCATGCCTTCCTAATGGCACAGTTAGAGGCAGCAGTGTTTAAGCACGTGGATGTGGAGCCGGGCAGAAGGTGAAAATCCCAGCTCTGCCAATGATTAGCGTGTGACCTTGGGTAAGTTTCTTGACCTTCATGTGTCTCTATAAATTGTGACTAAAAACAGTCATGGAGCTGTTGTGAGACTTGAATAGTGAGGACTTAGAACAATATCCATCAGAAAGAAAGCACTCAATCAATGTTACCACTACTGCTCTTTAGCCTGAAGCACTGGATGTGTCAGGAGATCTGGGTTCAAATACTAATCTGCCTCTAAGGAGAAGCAAGCTGTTTGTTATCTCTGGAGCTGCAATTCCTCTATCTAAAAAAATGAGAGTGGAAATACAAGTTGTATCTTATTCCAAGGTTGTTGTGAGCCTCAAATAGGTTATGAGCAGACAAGTGCTGGGTAAACAGGAAGGTGCTCTCAGTTCTAACAGTCATGGGACACAGAACAGACGCTAAAGTAAAAAAAATGGGCGCAAAAATGGGCCGGGCGCCGTGGCTGACAACTGTCATCCGAGCACTTTGAGAGGCCAAGGTGGGAGGATCACTTGAGCTCAGGAGTTCAAGGCTATAGGAATTCACTATAGTGAATTGCATACTTCCTATAGCAACTGCACTTCAGCCTGAGCAACATAGTGAGATCTCATCTCTACTAAAAATAAAAACATCAGCCTGGTGTGGTGGCATATGCCTGTGCCCCCAGCTACCCAGGAGGCTGAGGTGGGAGAATCACTTGAGCCTGGGATGTCAAGGCTGCAGTGAGCCAAGTGAGCCAAACCTGACTCTGTCCTTCCTCCACCAAAATAAGGAAGAAAAAAAAAGTAATAAAAAGGGCCCCAACTATGGTCATTGGCCATTTGCCCTCTGTGAAGGGATTTTATACACAGGATGTTAAAGCTGGAAGGACCATTAGAGATTAGCTGTCTAGTTCTGTGGTTTTGTTTATTTATTTATTCATTGAGACAGTGTATTAGTTCATTTTCACACTGCTATAAAGGTATACCTGAGAGTGGGTAATGTATAATGAAAAGAGGTTTAATTGACTCACAGTTCCATAGGGTTGGGAGGCCTCAGGAAACTTACAATCATGGTGGAAGGCGAAGGGGAGGCAGGCACCTTATTCGCAAGGTGGCGGGAGAGAGAATGACTGAAGGAGGAACTTGCCAAACACTTACAAAACCATCCAGTCTCATGAGAACTCACTTACTATTACAAGAACAGCCTGGGGAAAACCACCCCTATGATCCAATTACTGCTACCTGGTCTCTCCCTCAACACGTATGAATTACGGGGATTACAATTGAAGATGAGATTGGGGTGGGGACACAGAGCCAAACTATATCAAACAGGATCTGTTACCGAGGCTGGAGTGCAGTGGCACAAGCACGGCTTACTGCAGCCTCAGCCTCTTGGGCTCAAATGATCCTTCCACCTCAGCCTTCTGAGTAGCTGGGACTACAGGTGCATGACATCATGCCCAGCTAACTTTGTTTTTTTGGTAGAGAAGGGGTCCCACTATGGAGCTTAGGTTAGTCTCAAACTCCTGGACTCAAGTGATCCTCTTGCCTCAGCCTCCCAAAGTGCTGGGATTACAAGCATGAGCCACTACACTCAACCCTGTTCTGTGGCTTATATATGTATTTGTTTCAGAAGCAAAGCCCCCATTTTTTTTTCCAACTAAAATCTTACTTCAAAGCCACAAATCTAGAAGGAAGAAAACCAAAGTTCCTGTGGTTGAAGATAGGAGAGGTGGAGGGGTAGTAATTCCACCCTCTCCACCTTCTCATTACCCTTAAAGCACCTTTGCAGAACCCCAGGTTTAACAATCTCATTGCATAGTGGGGGAAACTGAGGCTCAGATGAGGTTTGTCCACCCTAAGAACACAAAACTAATGCAAGGCAGAGCCAGACGTGAGCCTAGATGTGCCGATGCCTAAATGTAACACGAACTACCCCAGTAAATAGCACAGTGCACTTATGTGCTCAGGTCAATCCGTGCTTCTGAGCATTCTGGGCAATACTCAATCAGACTCACTCAGCCAAGTCTAACCCTGAGACGTTATAAAATTGGTGGCCCTTCATAGACTGACCTGGATATAATTCTTTTGTTGGTGACAACCTATTTCAGAAACGAGGAATAATAACAATTTGGTGCCCAAGTATCATCCTAATTTCTGGATGGATGGGAAGTGGAGGTGCTGTTCTCAGCTGGAGAAGCTTGCAGCAGGCTGTGCCCACTATGATCCAACCAAGAATGGTAAGAGACTGGAAATTCCCTCCACTCTTTGTGAAATGACCATATAAAGGTAAAAGCTTTCAGCTTTCCATCATCAATGGTATCAGGAATGGAATGCAAAATTCTACATTTTCAGAGAGGAATCATCTGTCTTTCCTACCATTCTGTGGGTGCTTCCATCTCAAAGCTGATGTCTTTATAGCTCCTGATCACTCGAAATGTGCTCTTTGGACCAGCAGCATCAACATCTCCTAGGAGTAAGAAATGCAGATTATCTGGCTCACTTATGAGCTACTGGATCAGAATGTTCATTTTAACAAGATCCCAGGAGACTTATGTGCACAGTACAGTTTAAGGAGCCCTGGCTAGAACTGGCATTTGAATAGCATGGTCTATTGAAATCCTAAATTATAGAGGCATCCTTAAGAGATACAAAATATTCATTTCTCACAGTGACATCAAACACATACGTTTAATTACACAAATGCAACTCTATACCATTAAGGGTGAAAGGAATTCTTTTTTCTTTTACATTTTATTCTGCGGTTTCTCCTTGCCGCCTCTTCAAACTTGCCCTTGACCTCCACAGTATCAGAGAGGAAAAGGCCACAGTCTAAATTCAAAGTGAAAACAAGAGAAGCTGTTTCTTTGCCTTTGATGTTAAAGGCTGAGGTCCAGGAGATTGGGCTGCAACTTGCTTTTAGTGATGACTTTGGAACCTTAACCTCCAATTGAGTACAACTCCACTCGAATGTACTTCACATTCATTATGCTCTTGCTCCTCTCCACCATCTGGGGTAGATGGTGTGATGTTAAGGAAATGGACTGCCTTGAGCAATTCAGGGTGCTCCGGTAACCTGGAAGTGCCCTGCAAATCCATTACTGAGTAGGAATGATGGCCCATGTGGATTGTTTTGCTTCCATTTTCCTCTTTTCTCAAACTCTTTTGCCATAGTTTCCCTTTCTCATTTATCACTTCCTTTTGTGCACTAAAACTGAAAATTGACAAGCCAAGGCGGATGTAACACATGGCTAGGTTTTCTGAGGCTTCCTGACTCACAGGCCCTCTCAATACCACTTTTAAAACCACCACTTTTCACCCTGCACCTTGGGAAGAAAGCCCTTCAACATTATCGGTCCCTAGGCCCAGAAGAATAATATTTAACAAGGTTTTGAAGTTGGTAAATATTGAAGGGATCCTCCACATTAGTCCTGTTGACCATACTCATGCAGGCCAATTTTCAACTTAAGAAAAAATGGAAAGTTTTATATGGATGGGATCCACCACAGTAACAGGACGGCATGGGCTTACCTCAGTGAGTGAAAACCCTTTCCAAAGGCAGAGATCTGGTCTCCAAATTTCTGCCAATGCCTTGCCATGGGCCCTCAGATGAGTCACTTGGACATCAAGGGCCCCAATGTCCTCATCTCAGAAATGGCAGGGAGTTCCGAGGGGCTTAGGATGAAATAATATCTAAGCCCCTTTCCAATTCTAAAATTCTTTGACCCGGTATTTCCATTCGGTAGTTTTCACCATGCATGCTGCAGCGGTTCCTCTTCAGGGTGCACAGGATTTTCTTCCTCCAAGTGATAGACACGTGACTGAGGTGCTAGGAACATCTGAACAACTCACCAGAACTCCACTGTGGGAAGGCTGGTCATGCCGAGCTGCTCCCCACGGAAAACCATGGCCTGAGCGCTATTGGGGTCCCACTGGGGGTGTCATGCAGTCACTCTGCTAATGGTTTTGCTTTTGTATGGCAACCCACTGCCATCTCCCCCTCTGAGCATCTCCTCACTCTACCCTCTTCTGATGTGGTTTAATAACTTCATGCATCCAACCTTTACACAATTGAGAGCAAAATTTTCAAGAAGCACACTGCACTGTGAACGCAGCTCATGGTCAACTCCCCAGATGAAGGCTCACAGGATTCCTGGTACCAAGCACATTGACAGTGTCAGTCTATGAGCACCAGGCTTTGGATAGCCCCTCTGAGCCTCACCTGTAAAATGAGAATAATGATAATAGGTAGCTATGTGTGAGGCTGGGCGATTCAGTGGGGTTGTGGAAAGCAGTACAGCTGCCAACATCTACAGAGTTCTTGATAAATGGTAATTGCGTCTACTGGTCTTTCTTATTTGTGGATTGAAGAATCTGAGGCCGAGATATAGCCTCAGAACGTGTATGTCTGGGAAACAGCAACAGCAGTTAAGTAAAAACAGACCCCACCACACTCAACCCATAGCAACACCCATTTCTGCAACCAGAACTGGCCCTGATCTCCCTACATACCAACTTCACACAAAAGGAAAGGAAGGAAGGAAAGAGCAAGGTCAGAGGAAGAAGAAAGAGAGACCAGTCATAGAATGTCCAGGGCTGGAAGTGGCCCAAGGCCCACAGTTAGTACTGGAGCCAGGGTTAGAACATCAGTCTCCCGGCTCCAAGTTGAGTTCTAAATGGAAACCATACTTCCTATTATGGGGGTTTTCCTTCTTCTCTGGTCATTGTATACCCAGGTCACTACCCCAGCCTACTCTTTCTTGCCAAATCTGCACAGGGCTGGGCTCCAGTGTCCGTGTGTGACTCTCCTGTACCGCATCCCTGATATGGGCTGTCCAACTTCACGTCAACCTCATACAGAAATGAGGAGCTCCCTGCCTACCTATGCAGCCCATTCCCCTCTTATCTCATCATTAAGGAAGTCTTTGTATTGGTCTGAAGCCTGTGTAGTGTCTCGCATACCACAGAGAGCCCCAGACACAGGCACACACCTTTGATTCATTGAGTCTAGGCATGGCCTTTGCAGGACTACAGAGGAGAAACAGTGAGAGATGAATATGAAGAGATGAGAGGAAAGAGACAGGGAAGGGGAGGGGAGAAGAGAAAGGAGGAAAGTGAGAAGAGAGAGGAGCGCTAAAGAGACAGAGACATGGAAACAGAGATGAACAGAAAAGAGATAGAGAGATACTGAGGTTGGTATAGTTTGAAAGAGGCAGAAAGAACACATATTCAGATGCCTTAAGGCAACTAAAAGTGGATTCCAGCCCACTCAAAATGCAGCACAATGACTCCCACCTCAACCACCCCCTCCTCAAGCCCACAACTGCATCAGGAAGCTAGTGAGTCACTGTCCCCCTGAGTCACCAATTCCCACTCCTGAGCTTAGCAGGTGGCAGAGGCATTCCCGGAAGTCTCTGTGCCTACAGGGAAGGGTGCAAGTCTAACTCCTCTGTCAAGCTTTTTCTGAGAATACAGAGAGAGAGAGGGCCCCCCCGAATATGGACTTCTGGAAAAGTCTACTAGAAAAGGGAATCAGGAACCAGCAGGCTCAAGGAGATAAAAGACAGCTTCTGACAAGGCCAAGTCGGGTTTCACTGTGTCTCTTCGTCTCCTTCTGGCCCCTTTCTTCTGTTGTTTTCCCTGAGCCCCTTTTCTCAGAAAAGCCCCCTGGCTGCTCATTTCCGGCTGGGTCCATTGGTTTTTATGCTCATTTTTTCTTTTCCTGTTTTTCTCGTTCTAGCTTCAAAGAAGCCTCTTCCTCCTACTCCTGAAGACAACAGGGTAAGTGAGACCCTAGCTCCACAGGCTACCTGATTGGCAAGTCCCTATTTGCATGTTCCCCTCTGGATGCATGCAGCAGGCTGTCATGATTCAGTGGAACTCAAGACACTGGAGTTTTTTGGGCCTGAACTGTCTTGGAGGTCTGTTCACTTAAAGGACCATTTAGCTGCTAAATCTCCATCTCACTTTATTCATTCAACAAATACTGGTATCAAACTAGTTGTCAATTCACCGGGCCACTTTGGAGTTATAGTAACAGCTCGCTCTATATAAAAGTGTGCCCGGCATGGTGGCTCACACCTATAATCCCAGCAGTTTGGAAGGCCAGAGTGGGAGGATGACTTGAGCCCAGAAATTTGAGACCAGACTCGACAATGAAGTGAGACCCCCAACTCTAGAAAAAAGTTTTTAAAATTAGCCAGTGTGGTGATGCATGCCTGTGGCCCCAGCTACTCAGCAGGCTGAGGTAGGAGGATCTCTTGCACCCAGGTGGTCGAGACAGCAGTGAGCCATGACTGTGTTCCACTGCACTCCAACCTGGGTGACAGAGCAAGACCCTGTCTCCAAAACAAACAAACAAACAAACAACAAAAAAAAAGATGCATATTTACTCTATGCAAGCATTTTGGAGACACACATTTATTGGTATTTTATATATTTCAAAGCACTTCCACCTCTTTATTATCTATTTTAAAATTTACTATCTGTTCTATTCACTTCAGAGGGTTTTAGTTTTATTCTCATTGTAAAACTTGGGAAATCAAATCCCAAAAGAGGTCTTGAGGTTTTCCAAGGCCCTTCAGCAACTTAGTAGGATGAAGGTTTCTTGTGTGGTGGTCTTTAATTCCAGTGATGGTTCTCAAAGTATAGTCCATGGACGAGAAGCATCTGCATCACCTGGGAACATGTTAGAAATACAAATCCCTAGGCCCCATCCCTAGACCTGCTGTGGGGTCTAAACACTGGGGGAGGTGCCTAAAATGCTGGGGGAGGTGCCCAGTAATCTGCGTTTTAATAAGCCTCCTCACTGGTCTGTAATATATTGGCTTACAAGTCTTAGATGTTATAGTACCTACTCTAGGGAAGCTTATTTGCCTAAGGAGATGAAAAAAAACAAAGACGGGAGAAGGATCATGACCTTTAGGTAGGGGATTGGCGCTGACTTATGATAATATTAACACCAATATCCACTTTTTTTTTTTTTTTGAGAGGGAGTCTCACTCTTGTCGCCCAGGCTGGAGTGCAATGGCACGATCTCAGCTCATTGCAACCTCCATCTCCCAGGTTCAAGCGATTCTCCTGCCTCAGCCTCCTGAGTAGCTGAGATTACAGGCACTCACCATCACGCCCGCCTAATTTTTAATAAGGACGGAGTTTCACCATGTTGGCCAGGCAGGTCTTGAACTCCTGACCTCAGGTGATCCACCTGCCTCGGACTCCCAAAGTACTGGAATTACAGGCATGAGCCACCGTGCCCAACCAATATCCACATTTGAGTACTCGCTCTTCATTCCAGAGTAAGTTCTTTAACCAGGACTTACTGATTCTATTTCCTCATGCTTCTTCCTGAAGAATGAGCTCTGCCTTTTTTCCTTTCAGCCAACATGGTGACATTTCAAAACTGGCAGCATCCCCATAAAGGAAGCTCTAAATCCTCAAAGCCTCAGCCTGGTGTTTAGATCTGTCATCAGCCTGCTCCCTCACAACAGGAAAGAAATGTACTGAAACTGTAGCAGAGAACAAACTCTCTCTCCTTTTCTTTCCTTGCCCTTCTAAAGACTATTTCACCATCCCTCTTGAAGGCATGGTTTGGAATCCTACTGCCCTCCCTTGCAGACGGTTCCCTCAACATCCCACCGAAACCCACACTTCCCATCTTAAGCCAGGCTGCTCTTGTGTCTTTATCTTCGGTATCCATGAAGGTGAAAGCCAGAAAACACTGCTGGTCATTCTCTCCCTGTGCTCCACCATTTGGCTTTTCAGCCTTCTTGAAGGAGCATCATGGATACTGTTTTGAGTGTTCTGGCCACAAGGGTTTTAGAATCATTGTTCTAGTTTCAACCGCATGTCTAAATCCAATGCAACAGCTCTCTTAGAGCCACTTGAAGTCGTTTTGCTTCTCGCCTTCCTGTTCTGCTGCCTGAGTGGTAATGACATCTAGGATTGTCATACTGAAAAGCTATGTTTTTAAGCCAGTCTGAGCCAACAGGCCTCATGCTGTATGTGAGAAACACAGTGAGCAGGGTCAGTCCCCAGGGGTCGGGGGATGGCTGTTTTGGTTCAGGATGGAGAATATCCATGGTCAGAATGAATGACAATCCCAGGCTTCTCTTGCCTATGGATACAAACAAGGTCTTATTGGACATTGAAGTCCAAATTCTGATTCCTCTTGACCCCCAGAATCCATGGAACTCAACTCTTCCTTTTATGATCTCTCCCAGCCAACTCAGCTGAGGGGCCACTAGAATGCGTCTGCATGTGTCCTTTCTCCCTGGCTCCCTATTAAGGTACCCTATCCTTGCCACTGCTACCTGGGCTCTCTGTGAGGGCCCCTCAGTCCAGTGGAGCTCTTCCCAGCTGGAACCAGGAGAAGTTCTGGGGGGGCCAGGTTGTACTGAGGCCTGCAGCAGAGTGGCTGGGAGATGGGATTCTCATTCCCTTCATGCCTCACCACATCAAGGACACTCCCAAACAACTGTTCCTGCCCCATGGACTCAGTTTCTCCAAATGCTATCCCTTGATTTCCACTCAAATCTAATGGTTCCCAACCCTAGCAAACTCAATGCTGCCGTTTAATGACAGATATTTTTTTGTAAGGCTCCTTTTGTTATCCTGAAAAGAAATTTATAAATAACATAACATATAAATGCATGCATAATTTTTTTTAATTATTTAATTAAATTTTTTGTTGTTGTTTTGAGACGGGGTCTCACTCTGTTGCCCAGGCTGGAGTGCAGTGGTACAGTCAGAGCTCACTGCACCGCCTATCTCTCGGGCTCAAGCCATCCTCCCTCCTCAGCCTCCACAGTTGCTGGGGCTACAGGCATGTGCCACTACACCTGGCTAATTTTTGTATTACACATACTTTTTAAAAAGAATCAATAAATGTTCTAACTGTAATATTTAAACAGGAAAGAAAAATAATATATATAACAAAATAAGTGTTTCTATATAAATATTGGGGCATGACTGCACTGGAAGACAGAATGAAATAATCGATTGCTTGCACCTGTAGGTAGGATCCCATTGAATTGGGCATCTCAAATGCAACTGATACAAAATGTAATATTGAGACTCAACCACAGTGTTACCACCTGTGATGTAATTTTCCAAAATGATGAACAACTCTTGATAAACTTCTGAACCACAGTATAATCTTCCCTCAAAGTACAAGGTAGTTGCATTCTTGGGAAACCCAGTACTTTGTATAGTGTACAGAGAGGATCTAGGATCAGGTTGTTCTTACATAATTACTGCATAAGCTGGTTTCTCACCACATGAATGTCTACTAGGATATTTGAAAGTTGTAGGGAATGTGGGACCCTATAGAGCATTTTGCATTCTTGGCCATCACCCATTAAAGGCTTATAGGACACTTCAAATTTTGTGGCAGTCAAAATAACCCCCATATTCCAAGTTTGCATAATTGTTAGAAAAAAAACCCACACATGGCCGGTGTGCCCCTGTAGAAAGGTACTATCATAATTTGAGGACCCTGCTCTGCTCTTTCTCTTCACAGGTATTAACCAATGAGTTGACCTAGAGTGGGATGAATGCCATAACTCTCCTTCATCTTCTCCAGGCATCCTTGGAGGAATGCAATTCCTCCCTCCATGAGCTCTTAGAGCAAAAGCCTCAGGCCATCTATGCTTGTCTGTAGCACCCCATTTATACAACCTCACAAGCTTTACAAATATCTGGATTTCAAATTCCAATCTGCAGCCGAGCGCAGTGGCTCATGTCTGTAATCCCAGCACTTTGGGAGGCCAAGGCAGGAGGATCACTTGACCCCAGGAGTTCGAGATCAGCCTAAGCAACACAGTGAGACCTTGTTTCTATTTAAGAAAAAAAAAAAATCCAATCTGGGCTCAGTGGAATGACATACTACATCAGCATAATGAGAGACTTTTTTTTCAGCTTCAGTATTTTTATGCCACCAAATGCTTCAATGTACTCAGAGAACTTGTGACTTCCTAACACTAAATCACATTCTAGCCACGAACTCAAGCTTTCCCCACATTTACTCTCACAAAGTCTGCCAACCCAGAGCAGGTGTGTCCATCCTGAACTCTGGTGACTGTGTGCTTTGTAGTCTTTTTTCATGTCCCCAATATCTCATCCTAAGAAAGGGACTGAGGAACAGAGACATCAGCAAGAGAAAGGGAGTAGAGAGAGGCTCAGGGCTAATTCAAGTGGTAGATTGTCCGGGTCCATTTCTCCATCTAGGCCTCAGTTTCCTCATCCTAAATGAAAAAGTGCATGAAGTGATCTGTCAGAGGAATTCCAGTTCCAATACCCTATGATTCTGTAGACCTGGATAAAACCACAAGTCATATCAGCAAAGCACAAACTGAAAGATTAATGTTGACTGCATCTCCTTTGCCAAGGGCATGATGCATCCGGCAGAGAGGCTGCCACATATAACACAGTGCAGATAGAGAAACCAGCAGACTTTTGTGAAAATCGTGTGGCTGCTTGGAATTCACTGTGGTCAGAATTTACCTCATAGAATGAGAAATGTGATGAATTCCAAGTACTGATGTCTTTGTGTCATAGTCAGTACCATAACTCTAACTCATAAAGAAAGTCAACCAGAGGAAGGCAAATTGTCTCCCAAGACACCCCGATGAAAGGAGGTATTTTACCTCCTTTTTATGTCTTTGCTTGGTTTTGTTGTCTCCCTTCCCCAGCGACCACTTTGGGAACCCGAAGACACCGTGGTCATTGCCTTGTATGACTACCAAACCAACGATCCTCAGGAACTTGCCCTACGGCGCAATGAAGAGTACTGCCTGCTGGATAGTTCTGAGATTCACTGGTGGAGAGTCCAGGACAGGAATGGGTAAGGCATCTTTGTGGCTGCTGCCCCCGTGTTTGAGGTGGTGGGAACAAAGATAATACCAGTATGATCTGTCCTACCTCCTGCAGCGTGACCACTGCGCTGAGATGGGAGAGGAGAGCAGAGGCAGAAGGAAGATGGAGGAAGAGGAAGTAGTTGAGTCTCGTTTTTCCTCTTCTCAGAAGTGGCTCCAAGGCAGTCACCTGCTATGCTTGCTCCCTGCACCCCATCTCAAGCACTCCAGACCCAAACTCATCTAAAAGCCCCCTGGGTTTTTCCACTGACATTGACAATTTGGGAGCTTGGCAACTTGATCTGCAAAGCGCTATTGTCCTTGAGTGTTAAGTGAGGCTGAAGGTACATCCCGTTAGAAAGTGCTTATTTTTGGTGGAAAGACAAGGTATGCAGAAATGGTACAGATTGATAGTTACATAGGACGCATCAGAATGAAGATTCTACAGATTTAGTTACAGTTGCAATCATTGAACTAGCCATCCACATGACTCGGAGGAAAATAAGGTTGTAAAAATACCACTTTTCTACTATGGGACTTTTGAATGAAAAAAAATATCGATCATGAGATTCACACTGCCTTTTAAGATTTTTTTTTCTTTTATTATATCAGACATATTAACCCATCCTCTGAAATATTTTCCAGAGTATGAGTGCAATGGTTGCATAAATCCAGCAATAAATGTACCCTAAATTAGCAAATTCCTTTGTTGAACACTTAGGTTGTCTCCAATATTTTGCAAATATTAACAACACTGCAATGAACATCTTTGTATATTAATATTAAGGGTTTAAATATTTTCAAAGTATGAGGTTATCATTGATTTTAAAATATAAAAAAGAAAAAACTGTCATTGCAACATATGAATTATTTATGTCAACATTTTATTTGACTAACTGTAGAGAGAAATATACATTAAAAAAAAAACAAGCCATCCTCCATTTACCTCCACATCAAGTCCAAAAGTAATCACTGTTTGGCCGGGTGCCATGGCTCACACCTGTAATCCCAGCAGTTTGGGAGGCCAAGGTGGGTGGATCGCTTGAGGCCAAAAGTTTAAGACCAGCCTGACCAACATGGTGAAACAGCTTCTCTACTAAAAATACAAAAATTAGCCAGGTGTGGTGGAGCACGCCTGTAATGCCGGCTACTCCAGTGGCTGAAGCATGAGAGTCACTTGAACCCAGGAGAGAGAGGTTGCAGTGAGATGAGATGGTACCACTGTACTCCAGCCTGGGCAACAGAGCAAGACTCTGTCTCATAAAAAAAGAAAGAAAAAAAAAAGGTGATTACTATTAATACCTTTTTGTGTATCCTAAACAAGTTACACCTATGCAAATGCATCCTTTTTTCACTTGTACCAAATTGATCCATTCTATTCTGCATCTTGCTTTTAACTTTTAATGATATAATACACATTGAAGATCTTTTCATACCAGCACATGCAAATCTGCATTTTAAAAATAATTGCATAGGCTGGGTGCAGTGGCTCACACCTGTAATCCCAGCACTTTGGGAGGCCAGAGTAGGCTGATCACCTGAGGTCAGGAGTTGAAGACCAGCCTGGCCAACATGGTGAAACCCCATCTCTACTAAAAATACAAAAAAATTAGCCGGGCATGGTGGCAGGCGCCTGTGATCCCAGCTACTTGGGAGGCTGAGGCAGGAGAATTGCTTGAACCCAGGAGGTGGAGGTTTCAGTGAGCTGAGATCGTGCCACTGCCCTCCAGCCTGGGCAACAGAGTGAGACTCCATCTCAGAAAAACAAAAATTGCATAATATTAGAATGTATCATTGTATTATAAATGTTTAAATAACCCATTGTGGTGGGACATTTAGTTGCCAGTTTGTTTCCTCTGCTGTTTCAAACAGGCTTTAATGAAGATCTTGTGTTCATGCATCTTGGCAATCTTTGGAATACATACATACATATATATATATATATATATATATAAAATATAACTAA